CTTAAAAACCTCCAAGGAAGGAGAGTCCACCACCTCCCAAGGGAGTTTGTTCCACTGTCAAGCAGCTCTTATGGTTCTTCCTGATGCTTAGTCAGAATCTCCTTTCTTGTAACTTGAAGGCTTCCTCTGTCCTAGGACACGAGCTGATTCATACAGCAAAGCTAGAATCAATGTTGTATTTGCAAAGATGGGCCATTTTGCTGAACACCATATAGGCACAGCTGCAGACTGTAATTTTTAGTGTTTCATGTCCATTAGAGCTCAGTTCCCCAATGATGATAATAATAGGATTTCTCACCTAGCTTTCATCATAAAATTCCACGGTGGGTTAAAGTAAGATTAAAATACAAGATTATAAAATTGTTTATAATGAGAAGAATGGGGTGGGTTCCTAAAATGCATGTATTTGGGTGTCAAAGGGCAGGGTAAAGAAGCGTGTCTTCAGAATATGATGAGGCAGCAGGAGAGGAGAGTGGAAAACCACATGGGAGGGAGAACGGAATAGTTTGATTAAGGAGGGCCTGGCTGGCAAATTGGAAGAGTAAACAGGAGCACTCCATGCCACGTCCTTCTTGGAGCAGGTCCCACTTGAAATAAATTTGTTATACTTTTGCTCTAACCATGCCTACTTGGGTGTAAGCGTTATTGAATTCAGTGAAGTTTATTCCCAGGCAAATGGATTTAGAATTGCAGTTTTAGTCTTTGCGGTGCCAAAGGCCTCTTTGTTACTATAGCCGATGCAGAATTATTTCTGCTTTAGCAGAGAACAATGGGGAGGGGGAGTCCGCAGATGGGAATCAACTCAAGAGCCGCCGTAAACAGCAGCCTGTAAAGGATAATAGTTCACTTTAAATTATATTCAAATCCTCAGTTTGTCCACAAGATGGCATTTTGTTTGCTTACAGTCCTGCTGCTCTTGACAATGTACTGCATATTGTTTGCTCAGGCGACATGACTATTTTACTAGAGCGACGGATGCAATCCCAAGGAACAGTATTGCTTCGGATATTTTCACAACAGCTCTCATTTCCATCTGCCAACGCCGGTGCTACAAAGCTCTGTCACCCTTATTTTGTGGAAATGTAACACTCTGGCAAATAATCAGACCTGTGGATGAGCTCTGCCAAATTGGTTTCCCAGGTTGCTGGTACCTCAAATTCAAAACACAGGAATTATTCCCAAATGGCTTGAAAAGAAGCCCTGGGAAAATGGAGGTTCCCACTCCATCTCTGAAATCATTGCTATGACTTTATTATGCCCCCCCCCATGCGCCTTGTAATAGGCTGAGAAATGTTCACCAATCACTGGGTGCTTAAAAACGTAAGAAAAGCTCTGCTGGTGAGCAGGCCTTGTTTCTTCTAAGAAAGAGTTCACTTCATATACTCTGTGTCATTTATTGCTGGCTGGCTCCCTGACATCAAGGCGGCCTACAACATGAAAAAATACATGACTGTTGTTGTTGTTTAGTTGTGTCTGACTCTTCGTGACCCCATGCACCAGAGCAGGCCAGGCACTCCTGTCTTCCACTGCCTCCCGCAGTTCGGTCAAACTCATGCTGATGGCTTCGAGAACACTGCCCAACCATCTCATCCTCTGTCATGTCCTTCTCCTTGTGCCCTCCATCTTTCCCAGCATCAGGGTCTTTTCCAGGGAGTCTTCTCTTCTCATGAGGTGGCCAAAGTATTGGAGCCTCAGCTTCATGATCTGTCCTTCCGGTGAGCACTCAGGACTGATTTCCTTCAGAATGGAGAGGTTTGATCTTCCTGCAGCCCATGAGACTCTCAAGAGTCTCCTCCAGACCATAATTCAAAAGCATCAATTCTTCGGCGATCAGCCTTCTTAATGGTCCAGCTCTCACTCCCATACATCATTACTAGGAAAACCATAGCTTTAACTATACGGACCTTTGTTGGCAAGGTGATGTCTCTGCTTTTTAAGATGCTGTCTAGGTTTGTCATTGCTTTTCTCCCTAGAAGCAGGCATCTTTTAATTTCGTGACTGCTGTCACCATCTGCAGTCCTAAACAATAAATAAAACGTTAACAAAAAACCCACCAAACTGAACAATTTCCACATAAATCACAACAAGAACTGAAATAAAGATACAAAAAGACAACAGCAACAACCCTCCCATACCAACAAAACACCCCAAACAACACCCCAGACCAAGACTCTGTTCAGCAACCTCAGCTTATGTAGCTGGAGTCAGTCAGGACCTTGCTCTTCTACGCCATGGAAAAAGACCTACAAGGCAGGGAGCAGGTCTTCCAGGATTCACAGCCAAGATATAGAATAAGAAAGGTTAGAATGTATAAATGCTATTCTCAGCAATGGTTTAGCAGTGCTATATACTACTGCCTGGTTGGCTCTGACCCTCCACAGGGCCTTTTTAGTGGTGGTTCCCAGGTGTGCCGGTCTCCATCATGATTAAATTTCAGGAGGAATTTGAAAACCTTCCTGTTTACTCAGGCATTTAGTGGCTGGTGAATACTGTTCCTGGCATCCTTGAGATAATTTGATGAATGCATGTTTCAAATATATATAATATATTTATATTATATAAATATATTTATATGGATATAAATTCAATAAACAAATGCATACATCTTGGTAGTGGGAGTAATAAAGGTGGAATCCTGTACAGTCCTAAAGCAAATACTGTGTGAGCCTCTAACCAGGCTACATGCTTATTTCTGAAACACTGAGCAATGTTATTTCGATGCCTGTGATAAAGAATTGAGTTTGGCTTTCCACAAATAGGCTGTTTGCAGAGGCAGAGTCTGCCTAGCATTAACCAACCGAGTCTGTGTGGTACAGCTGTTTTCCCTCTCATAGTCTGGGCTAGATTAATCTACTCGGACATATCACTATATTGGAACATATGAGTAGCAGTGGATCAGCTTGGTGGAGTCACCTGTTTCCTGTTGTACAACGATGACATTTATGTTTCCTGCCATCTTTGCTCCTGCCCGATAAGCTGAAAACTGCTGCCGCTTATCAGGAAGGGAAAGTGTTATAAAACATACTCCAGCCTTCAATATCTACCCAGACAGTGTATCAGGGTGCTTGGCTTCTCATATCTGGGAGGTCATATCCATTAACTCCCACAGTATGGTTTTCAAACACATCACCTGGGAGTCTACAAGGAGGATTTGCACACACAAAAAGTTGCAGAGTTGCGACGGAAGATTTTGGACCCTGGTGGATCTGCATGTAATGAATTAACCAATCATTTTCTTTTGTTTTTATTTCATCGATGGATCGTTTCCCATGAAACAGCTCAGAATGATTTACAATAAAACCATGAACAATAAAATCACAAATAAAAACAAATTCAGATCTAATACGTGTACAGACCAGGATAAAAATACAGTGGTACCTCTGGTTACGTACTTAATTCGTTCCGGAGGTCCGTTCTTAACCTGAAACTGTTCTTAACCTGAAGCACCACTTTAGCTAATGGGGCCTCCTGCTGCTGCTGCGCTGCCACCGCAGGATTTCTGTTCTCATCCTGAAGCAAAGTTCTTAACCCGAGGTACTATTTCTGGGTTAGCGGAGTCTGTAACCTGAAGCGTATGTAACCTGAAGCGTATGTAACCCGAGGTACCACTGTAGTTATGAGCTTTTTTCAGGAGTAGACTGAATGTATGGGAGCCCCTTTTAACTGTAGGCTAGCATCCTGGTGAGCCGATAGCCTGGGTGATGGGCCATTAAGGGGAACAAAGGAAGGGGCTCTGTGCAAGACGGCAAGGTAGTTAGAAAGACAAATGAAGAATTGAGAGGAGTTGAATACAGCCGTACCTTGTTTTGCGGCCGGGATCCATTCCGGAGCCCCGACCACTGGCTGAAAAGGATGCAGGGCAAAGTGCCACGTCTGCACATACACAGGAAGCGGTTTGCGCTTCTGCACATATGCAAGCTGCAAACCCGGAAGTAACCCATTCCAGTACTTTCGGGTTTGCCACGGATGTTCATCGGAATGGACGCTAGATGAGGTGGACGTTCGTGGAGGTATTACTGTAATGAGAGCCAGAAGCTAGAAGAAAAACTGCAGACTGAGAAGCCAGAGAGGGCCAACAATAGTTGATTTATGTTTGAACCCAAGGCTGCAGCTATGAGGGAAATAAGGTCCTCTTAAGGCGTTAATTCTGCGAGCCCCTCCATCGTTGGCTCAGGTTGCATATATGTGTAAATAAATCATATGGATAGGTGGGGCCTCACTTAAAGGCCCGATTCCTACAATGTGCATATCTAAATTGATTATTTATTAGTTTAACTATTTCATAGATTTGTACAGTTGGAAGGGATACCAAGGGTCATCTAGCCCAACACTCTGCAATGCAGGAAACACAGCTAAAGATTCCTTCCCTGATGGATGGCCATCCCACCTCCGTTTAGAAATCTCCAGTGAAGGAGAGTCCAACACTTTCCGAGATGGAGTCATGTACATGTTTACTTGGACATTAGTCCCATTGAGTTCAATGGCACATGTTCCCAGGTTGGTATATACAGACCCTCCAAGTGTCCCAGGATTTACAGAAGTCATCCTGGTTTCTGATTTGATCACAGAATGTCCCGCTTTTCCTTAGGACGTCCCTATTTCCTTCAGAGAAATGTTGGGAGGGTTTGTTTTTCATTTGGAAAAACCTTGGAGGGTATGGTCTATCTGGAAGTGCAGCCTAAATATTGTGGGAGGAGATGAGGAGGGGATATTGGTTGTTTTTGTTCTCATTTTTATTATGCATTTTATGTTTTTTATCTTATATTTTTATATTGTGAACCGCTCTGAGATCCATGGGTGACAGGTACTATACCAATTTAACTAATAAATAAATGCTATTTTTAGGCTGTAGTCAGATATCCACTTACCAGGGAGTAAGACTAATTAGATTCAATGGAACGTTTTTTCTAAGCAGACATGTACAGGATTTCACAGTTAATATTTAATACATTAACATTACTTTCTACAGTGTAATGATATGTTCTGCATGGATTTTTTTTGCTGATGATTTCTTTGAAACAGTATTCTATCATTTTAATTCTTTATTATTATTATTATGGTCCATGGGCAGTAAGAATAAACTCTGACCATGCGCCACTCAAAGCTAAGCATTTTTATATCCCACAGCTCTCAATGGGACAGCTGAACCAAGTACCTTGATCTCTTCAAGCGGAATTTATGGCATAGAAAAAGTGCTTTGTTGCAGTGCCATAGCGTGGGTTGCCTGTGCCCTAGGCCACTCAGATATGGGTGGGAGGAAGTGAGGAAAACAGACTGAGTACGCATGCACATTCAACTGCCTAACAGTGTCTATGTCACTCAGGAGATCACTCTCAACACAAATCTCTGTTTGTTAGGGACTGGATAACTTCAAGGGAAGTGTGTGGTTTTTTTAAAGGGGAGCGTAGAAGAGGGATGGCCAACATGTGACCCTCTTAATGTTGCTGGACTCCATCTGTCATCAACCCTGACCATCAGTCATGCTGTCCTGGGCAGATCGGATCTGGAGTCCAACAGCATCTGAAAGACATTGAATCAGAGAGGGACTGGAAACCAAGTCACCTAAAATGAGTTCCGATCCAAGCATCAACTGCATTCCTGCACATGAGAGATGCCCCACTGACATGCCATCCCTAGCTTGTTCCTGCAGAAATTGTGGAGAAACCATGGCAACAGGAAGCCCCATGGAGACCTTTGATGAGTGGTTCACGGTGAATGGCTTGATATGAGAATCAAGAACAAAACAAAAGTCCATGCTCCACACACACACACACACACACACACACACACACAGCTAGTTTGTCACTGGTATCTTTAGACTTGACTAAAGAAAGAGGCAATTAAATCCAGGACAAAGCAAGGCATGAAATGCAGAATCTGGAGGACAAAGAGAAGGCTCCACTCATTTATCATTTGTGACAACATGCTGAGAGAAACTGTGGATGCCGCACCGACAATCTGCGCACACAAAAAATGCCCTGGGGAAAACAGGAAAGCAGAACTTAGGACATATCAACACATGATGGCCAAATGCTAGATAGCAGACAGGTTTGTACCTTTGGTTTGTTGCCAATGAGATGGTTAGTCTGCATGGCCTAGAACTCCTTATCACTGTGGAGGGATATCTCATAGAATCATAGAGTTGGAAGAGACCTTGTGGATCATCTAATCAGCTGTCCTTTATGGGGATTGAACCTGCAACTGAGCTATCCAAGGATCCAAGGACTGCAGTGAAGGCTCACCTGGTTGAATCCAATATACAAATTCTTGACATGTGCGCTCTCTCTCACTTTCTCTCCGAAAGTGGTGGTGCAAGTTTACAACCCCAATAAGAGGTAAAGGTAAAGGACCCCCGGATGGTTAAGTCCAGTCAAAGGCGACTATGGGGTTGCAGCGCTCATCTCACTTTTAGGCTGAGGGAGCCGGCGTTTTTCCACAGACAGCTTTCTGGGTCATGTGGCCAGCATGACTAAACCTCTCCTGGCGCAACGGAGCACTGTGATGGAAACCAGAGTGCATGGAAACGGTGTTTGCCTTCCTGCCGCAGTGGTACCTATTTATCTACTTGCACTGGTGTGCTTTCGAACTGCTAGGTTGGCAGGAGCTGAGATGGAACAACAGGAGTTCTCCCCGTCACGGGGATTCGAACCACCAACCTTCCAATCTGCAAGCCCAAGAGGCTCAGTGTTTAGACCACAGAACCACCCGCATCCCTGCTCCCAATAAGAACAAGGTATTAGTGGTAACAATTGAGTTTTAGAGATGCAGGATATGTCAGTGTTACTTTAGCGACTTTACCCAACAAAAGTGATGGTTCCATATCAGCTAAGTTTTTGTGGCACTTGATCTGTTAAGCCTATTGCGTAGTACATAGGTGTTTTACAGAAGTCTCCAAATATTTTGCTGGCCTTGATAGCTAAGCTTATTTATTTATTTATTTATTTATTTATTCATTCCTTCCTTCCCACAAAGGTGAACTTGAAGCAACTCACAAAAGCAAACATTAAAAGCAAATTTAAAATATAAGAATAACAACATAAAATGCTTACCAATCGTATATATGAAAGAGCAAATCCAATATTGTGGTTACCCAAGCTCTCCCTTCTCTCAAGGAAGCCATCCTGCACCAGCTTCTTATGCATAGGTTCGCTCTTTGGGGGAAACTGTGCATAACAATGCACGTTGGTGAAAATAATATCAGAAAATGCATTATTTTAGGGGAAATTGCCTACTAAAAAGTTCATGTATTAGGGAAAGTTACCTAAATGAGTATATTAGGAGAGATTCACATTAAAACAAATTAAAATTTTCAGAAAGACCAACTGGTGTGGGAAAATGAAGAAATGAGTATAAAGTTGGAAAAATGAGAAACTGAAATCTACCAAAATTGACAAATTCACACAGGCTTAAGTACATTCAGTTTAATGCACATTGTCCTCCTTGTGATTGAGAACCCTACACCCTTCAACCAATACAAGTCCAGAATGCCTGAAGATGACTCGGGTGACCTTGAATTCAAGCACTGATAGATAATAGGTGCATTTCCCACCCCCCTCAATCACAAAGAAAAAGTAGCAGGCACAGGTAGTCATCTGTTGTCCATTGATGCCTTAGGAACTGAATTAGTTCCAAAGATTTTGTGCCTATTTACCACTGTGTATTGTCTGCAAAAATGAGGCATAAACCATCAAAGCCTTTCTTTTACATTAATTTGCATTCCAAGTGACAGTTTGTATGCCAAGTTTCAACATGATGTAGATTAAGAGGTCTGAGTTATGAACTCGTGCCCAAGAAGGTTTACAATGGAAGCGGCAATGAATCCTTAATTATAGCATCATAAAGACGATAATGTAAACACAAGATGTTGCAATGGGAAGTAACAGATATATTTGGCATGGCCTTTAACTTATGGTTTGCTGCAGTTTTACCATCTCTCTCGGAGAATGGTCTTTTCCATTTATTTACTGTATATTTTTAATCTTTGACAGTTACAGCAAGACGAATGCCTCGCAAGACGAAAAACTCGCTAGACGAAAGGGTTTTGCGTTTTTTGAGTCGTTCCGCAAAACGAATTTCCCTATGGGCTTGCTTCGCAAGACGAAACGTCTTACGAGTTCTTGCGAGTTTGTTTCCTTTTTCTTAAAGCCGCTAAGCCATTAATAGCCACTAAGCCGCTAAGCCGTTAATAGCCGCTAAGCCGCTAAGCCGCTAATAGCCGCTAAGCCGCTAATAGCCGTGCTTCGCAAGACGAAAAACCGCAAGACGAAGAGACTCGCGGAACGGATTAATTTCGTCTTGCGAGGCACCACTGTATTTTCCAATTGCAAATGCAGTTAGGGAAAGTACACATTATTCCACCAATCAAAGAAGGCCTAAAAGATGAACAATTTCAAATTATCTGGGTCCCGGGTCATCATCATCATCATCATCATCATAATTTATTATTTATACCTCGCCCATCTGGCTGGGTTTCCCCAGCCACTCAGTGTGAGAGGGTGAATCACAAACTGAAATACATAATGTGTACATTTATTTGGTCATTCAGGGCAAGCCCTATCACTGGGCAGAGTGAGCCAGCCACCTCAGTAGCAGATGTGTGGGAAATGGTGGTGAAGTTTTGGAGTTATACATGCAAGCCTGCTCTGGACCCCATAAGTAGCCCTCAGGTATAGTGGAAGATTTCCACTGCTAGCTATTTAGGAGAAAGACTGCCATCAGTTTGAAGTGACTACTGGGGTTTTTTCCCACCCTAGCCCTAACCTAACCCATAGGAGCCAACGTCTAGGGGCCATAGGGACTTCAGTCCCCCCAATAAAATATTTGAGGGGGCCTGGCCCTCCAAAGTTGATGGGCATTGTCATTCAAGTGATACGCCTCATGTGATTGATTATGCAGGGTGGGACTTACTTGCCCCCCTCCCAATATTTTATTCAAGTTGGCACCCCTGCCCTAACCCTAATAGCCTTCAACTTCCAAACTTCCTTTCTTTTTAACATTTATCCCCAGTAGAGTTGTTTTGTTTTGTTTTGTTTTGTTTTGTTTGTTTTGTGCATTGTAAGTGGAAAACCACAGGTATTGGTTGCACCTATGTGAGTGGTTAAATGACAGAAAGTGTGCTGGACTATAAAGGAAATGGTCTCTGACCCATTTAGGACCTGATCAAGACCAGCTTTTGCTTTGTTCTAGGGCCTGTGGTCCTCCAGATGTTGATGGACTCCAACTTCCAAGACCCTGAGCCAACATTACCAACAATAGGGAATGATGGGAGTTGCAGTACAGTGATGTGCACAGGCTAAACATCTGTTCCAATCTGTGGCTCTGGTGGCTTTCCACACAGCATGCTTTTACAGTACATATAGCGCTGGGTTCCCAGCATCAGGCCCGGCAACTCATGAAAGGAGCTTAGCTGCAGGTGGGCAAGTCAGCCAGTAAGAAATTGCTGCAGCCCTTCTGTGGACTTGTTTAGAAGTCTAGGTTAAGGCTATGGCAGGAGAAGCCATCCCAGGAGGTAGATCTGTATTCTGCTAAGAGTGAAAATTCTATGAAATTGTCTCACTGTCATCTCAGCCTATTAATAAGGAAGTGAGTTCATGCTGCTCAATTCTCATCTGCAAGTCATTTCCATGCATTTTTTACATTTAACCTAATCACATCCCCGAGAAGCTGATCGCCTAGTACTATTGCAGAGCATCATTGAAAGCCAAATTATTATCCACTGCTGTACCGTCCATCATTTCCCAGAGACCATAAACACATAAGACATAATCTCTACGAAGAGTTAAAAGGGCACTGGGAAAACTTGGCAAACGGAGCTCAGTTTTAACAGTCCCCATAAAATAACATCTGCCGCTTGTTTTCATTCTGAATGGGCTTTTTTAGATCACTGCAGGGGACACCACTGTTCCTTTCTGCTGTAATTCATCTAAATATTTAATAATATTTTTTGTGCACATATATATGCTATATACAAAGGGGTGTGCAACTACCATAAGATTTCATTTGGATCCTGATTCAGTACTTTGGAAAGCATACTGCTGCCCAATTTTATGCAGGGTCAAACTGTATCTGCTCCATTACCACTCCCACCCCCAGTTCACTATGGTGAGATTAAAAACAGCTGTAGCTGATTTTTTTTTTGCCTTTGACAGAAGTGGATGAAATTTGCAGGCAAACTAACCATTCCCAAGTTGATAAAGTCTGCCAAACTACAGACAGCTAGGTCTAGGTGCTTGTGTTCCAGGTACCTTTAAAGTTTGTTTTTAAAAGAAAAAGAAATAAATGCCTATAGCTTTGGGAGTAGGGTGGCATTTGATTAAATTTGTAAGCATGAATCCTGCCAAATCATAGGGAGGAATGATTTACAGTACCTGCAAGGTTTGCTGATATAGTTTTGGAGTAGGTAAAACAGAAATCATGCTGATCTAGCATTTGTGAGCAATTGGCCTTTCAGGTGTGAGATAGGTCTTCCTGGGTTAGAAACCTAGAAAACCACAGACAGATAGGTCCAGGGCTTTCAGGCTAAGCATTTTTAAAGTTGAATTGGGGTCTGGAAGACCTGGCAGTGATTTGCAATCTTGGAAAAATAGTCTAGATTGCATCACCAGATATATGGTGTCTTGAGCAAGGGAAGTAATAGTCCCACTCTAATCTGCCTTGGTCCGTGTCCTGGAGTACTGTAAGATGATCAAGGGTCTGAAAACCAAGGTTTAGGAGGAACAGCTGAGGGAGTTGGGTATGTTTAGCCTGGGAAAGAGGAGAGTGAGAGGGAAAAGGATAGCTACCTTCAGATATCTAAAGGGTTGTCTCGTGGAAGAGGGAACAAGCACAATATACATCAGGAGGCTTAGTTTGGTCGGAATCGAGCATACACTTCTAGAGTTAAAACTAAATACATTCCTTCTGGTAAATGAGCCACCGTAGATGCTTGAGGGCCATGCAAAGTGGTGTCCCAAGCTTTTTAGACCTGTCTACCCCATGTACTATCTGAAACCAAAGGGGCACATTGGTTGCCAGATGTGGTGGTGTTTTTTCAGCTGTCCGACTCCACTATAAGCTCTTTTCCAATAATATGACAAGGTTGCCATCCCACAAGCAGATGCCTAGATGGAGAATGAAGAGGCAGCTGAAGTAATGCACTTTAGCATTATGTTGTCACGCACACAAACACTTGTGCTTCTGACCACATCCACTTTCTACTCTGTCCCCACCCGCCATTGCCATCAAGGAAAGTGACCCATAGGCTTTAAAATCCTTCCATCCACGCAGAGAAAGCCATTGTGGAACCTCAGTCTGAATTAACTGTGTTAATGGCTTCAGGCATAATACCCACAAAGAGCCACACACAAAAAATAGGTATGGAAAAGGAGCTTGCAGGTATCAAGATACATTATGAGCCACTGGTGTTTTTGGTTTGTTTTTTTCCCCATTTCTTTTTTGAAGACAATGTTATTAGCACTGTTGCTTGCCAAACTAACCAATCGAGCAGTTCACCCAGAGAAGAGGTTTCCAGTGTTGCCAAATATAAAAAGCGCATCAACTGAATCTGTAATTGAGCTTGAAAGCTAATGAAAAGCCTGTGCTTAACCTTTCTTCGCTTCTGTCTATGTTTCGAATGCTGTTGGAGATGCTCGCTTTGCATATCCCAACAGACAAAAACTTCAGGTCAGTGCTTGCATTAATCTTTGAGCTGGACAAATTGTATGTTTGTAAGGTATAAAGGGCAGCGCGGTTGTGTTTTCCATTATACACCGGGGAGCCGCTGCGAGAGCAGGTGGAACTCGTGTTATACTATGAACTATTGTTTAAACTTCTGGAAGGATGTTGGGGATACTGCTTGCACAGAGAAACACATTCACATGATGGAAGTAGCAGGACTGTGTCAAGTGGCCATGCACCATCCATGCTGACACATATCATGGCCACATGAATTTAGTGTCAGCATCAGATGTGTGCGCATGCATCATGCATGTGAATGAGAACCCTTAGCAGTCGGGGTTTCTGCTTGCACGGAGGACCTCCTATGGACATCCATCAATCAGTGTGCAGGCCCCCTTCATGCTAACTGTGAATGTGTGGCCCCTAAGTGGGAATCTGATGGGTTGCATCATGGAGCTGCTGGACGACTTCTCACTCTCTTTGTCACACGTTCAGTGAGCAGATTAATACCCCCAGTATTAAGTTCACATAGGAGACTGTCTTATACTGAGTCAGATCATGGGTCCATCTAGCTCAGTGTTGGCCACCCTGACTGACAGTGACTCTCCAAGGTTTCAGGCAGGAAGTATTTTGAGCCATCCCTGGGATAGGGTCTTCTGTGTATGCAAAGGTGTCAGGAGCTCGTCCTGCACTCGAGTAGGATCCTGGTAGAGACACATGCCCAACTGGCATGTTCTCTCCCTCCTGGTCTTTCGTTTGGGAGCTACAAAAGCTTTCTTCTGCCTGAACATCACAGTGACCGATGCCAACAGACATCGGCACACTTAGGGATCCACAGAGTCTGCACAGTTCACGTGACAGAACTCAGCATTTTGGCTAATCTCCTTTACATACATATAAACACACACGGAGCACTGCAACATGGCTCCCTCTCTCTCTAGAATCAGACAGCAAAAAGAAAGAACAAAGGACAATAGTCCCACTTCACAGAACACAGTAACACAAACATCCTGTCTCTGTCACTTCCCACTCTGTGAAGTCAAAACATATACAGTGGTGCCCCGCAAGACGAACGCCTCGCAAAACGAAAAACTCGCAAGACGAAAGGTTTTTTCGTTTTCGAGTTGCTTCGCAAGACGAATGTCCCTATGGGCTTGCTTCGCAAGACGAAAACGTCTTGCAAGTTTGTTTCCTTTTTCGTAAAACCGTTAAAACCCAGGGTGCATTGCTTGAAGAGGTGCAGTTGCGACTTGACCTCGAGGAGCAACACATTGCACGCGGTGTGGTGGCCTTTCTGAGCTTTTTAAAGAGTTTGCTGGATTTTTGAAGCTTTTCCAAAACTTCTTCTACAGCTGTTTGGTAAGTTGAACTTTTAAAACTTGTTTGGGGTTTTTGGGATTTTGGGTTGGGGTGTTTAGAATTCAAGGACTTGGTGTTGGGGAGAGGTTTGCAAGAATCTGGGAGCTTGTGTGGTTTTTTTCTGCATTTTTATGATTTTCTGTGACCATTGGGCCATGTTTATTTTTTTTAAAAAAAAAATCTGGCTTTGAATTTTTGAATTTCTGTGTGCTGGGTGGATGGGGGAACAGCTGGGGAGGTGTTTGCAAGAATCTGGGAGCTTGTGTGCTTTTTTTTGAATTTTTATGATTTTTTGTGACCATTGGGCCATGTTGGTTTTTTTTGAAAAAAGTTTCTGGGTTTTAAATTTCTGTGTGCTGGGTGGATGGGGGAACAGCTGGGGAGGTGTTTGCAAGAATCTGGGAGCTTGTGTGCTTTTTTTTGAATTTTTATGATTTTTTGTGACCATTGGGCCATGTTGTTTTTTTTCAAAAAGTTTCTGGGTTTTAAATTTCTGTGTGCTGGGTGGATGGGGGAACAGCTGGGGAGGGGTTTGCAAGAATCTGGGAGCTTGTGTGCTTTTTTTTGAATTTTTATGATATTTTGTGACCATTGGGCCATGTTGTTGTTTTTTTGAAAAAAATTTCTGGGTTTTAAATTTCTGTGTGCTGGGTGGATGGGGAACAGCTGGGGAGGGGTTTGCAAGAATCTGGGAGCTTGTGTGCTTTTTTTTGAATTTTTATGGTTTTCTGTAACCATTGGGCCATGTTGTTGTTTTTTGAAAAAGTTTCTGGGTTTTAAATTTCTGTGTGCTGGGTGGCTGGGGGAACAGCTGGGGAGGGGTTTGCAAGAATCTGGGAGCTTGTGTGCTTTTTTTTGAATTTTTATGGTTTTCTGTAACCATTGGGCCATGTTGTTTTTTTTTGAAAAAGTTTCTGGGTTTTAAATTTCTGTGTGCTGGGTGGCTGGGGGAACAGCTGGGGAGGGGTTTGCAAGAATCTGGGAGCTTGTGTGCTTTTTTTTGAATTTTTATGGTTTTCTGTAACCATTGGGCCATGTTGTTTTTTTTTGAAAAAGTTTCTGGGTTTTGAATTTCTGTGTGCTGGGTGGCTGGGGGAACAGCTGGGGAGGGGTTTGCAGGAATCTGGGAGCTTGTGTGCTTTTTTTTGAATTTTTATGGTTTTCTGTAACCATTGGGCCATGTTGTTTTTTTTTGAAAAAGTTTCTGGGTTTTGAATTTCTGTGTGCTGGGTGGCTGGGGGAACAGTTGAGGAGGGGTTTGCAGGAATCTGGGAGCTTGTGTGCTTTTTTTTGAATTTTTATGGTTTTCTGTAACCATTGGGCCATGTTGTTTTTTTTTGAAAAAGTTTCTGGGTTTTGAATTTCTGTGTGCTGGGTGGCTGGGGGAACAGTTGAGGAGGGGTTTGCAACAGTTGGGGAGGGGTTTGCAACAGTTGGGGAGGGGCTGGGGGAACAGTTGAGGTTTTTGAAGACTTTGGTGATTTTTAAAGCTTTCCCAAAATTTCTTTTGCAGCCATTTGAGGATTTTGAAGACTTTGGTGATTTGCAGCCATTTCGTAAGTTAAACTTTTAAAACTTTTTTTGGGGTTTTTGGATTTTGGGTTGGGTGTTTGGAATTCAAGGACTTGGTTGTGGGTTTGAATTGCTGATTTTTTTTTTCTTTTCTGAGTTTTACAAAGGTAACAGCTGTGCTGCCATGGGACCCAAGAAGACTGCTGCTGCTGCGGAGGCCGGCGAGAGGAAGAAGGAGAAGGTGACGCTGGAGATGAAGAAGGAGATCATCCGGAAGCACGACGGTGGAATGCGTGTGACGGACCTCGCCAGGGAGTACGGCAGGAACCCATCGACCATCGGGACCATCCTGAAGATGAGGGAGAAGATCCTTGCGACTGATGCAGCCAAGGGAGTCACCAGGATCGTGAAGAACCGCCCAGCTGTTCTGGAGGAGGTCGAGAAGTTGCTCCTCATCTGGATAGAAGAGAAGCAGCGTGCAGGGGACACAGTGACTGAGGCCGTGATTTGTGAGAAGGCCAAGGCCTTGCACGCAGACCTCATCCGGGAACAGCCAGGAACCTCGGCCGAGCCAGAAGTCTTCAAGGCAAGCAGAGGCTGGTTTGACCGGTTCAAGGCAAGATCCGGAATCCACAGCGTGGTCAGGCATGGAGAGGCTGCCAGTTCTGATGTTCCTGCGGCTGAAGACTTTGCCTTGGAGTTCCTGGAGGTTGTGAAGACGGAGGGCTACGTTCCACAGCAGGTCTTCAACTGCGACGAGACCGGGCTGTTTTGGAAGAGGATGCCCAAAAGGACTTTCATCACTCAGGAGGAGGCCAAGTTGCCTGGCCACAAGCCCATGAAGGACCGTCTGACCCTGCTCTTCTGTGCCAACGCAAGCGGCGACCTGAAGATCAAGCCCCTGCTGGTGTACCACTCGGAGAACCCACGGGCCTTCAAGAAACACAAGGTCGACAAGGAGCGGCTGAGTGTCATGTGGCGATCCAACAGCAAGGCTTGGGTCACACGTGTGCTGTTTGTGGACTGGGTCAATCTTGCCTTTGGCCCTGCTGTCAAACAGTACCTGCTGGACAATGACCTGCCGCTGAAGGCTTTGCTTCTGATGGACAATGCTCCTGCTCATCCTAAAGGCCTTGAGGTGGACTTGTTGGAGGAGTTCAGCTTCATCAACATCATGTTCCTGCCGCCTAACACCACGCCACTGCTCCAGCCGATGGATCAGCAGGTCATCGCCAATTTCAAGAAACTCTACACCAAGGAGCTTTTCAGGCGATGCTTCGAGGTGACTGATTGCACCACCATCACCCTGCGGGAATTCTGGAAGGACCACTTCGACATCGTCACCTGCTTGAAGATGATCACCACGGCCTGGAAGGGGATCAGCCAGAGGAATTTGAATTGCGCTTGGCGCAGCCTGTGGCCGGACTGTGTGGCACCAAGTGACTCTGATGCACCAGAGTCGACAGTGGTGCAGGACATTGTTGCCTTGGGGAGGACCTTGGGCCTGGAGGTCACAGAGGAGGACGTTTGCGAGCTGGTGGAGGAGCACGACGACGAGCTGACCACCCAGGAGCTGGTTGCACTGCAGTCAGAGGTTGCGCAGGAGCAGGCCTCGCTGGAAGAGGAGGAAGCAACTGAGGAACGGCTGTCCTCCAAAGAACTGAGGGACATTTGCCAGAAGTGGAATGAGGTGCAGGCTTTTGCAGAGCGGCACCACCCTGACAAGCACGTGGCACATGACCAAGCGAACATTTTTGATACGACGGTCATGTCGCCTCTCAGGGAGCTGCTGAAACGGCGGATGAAGCAGCAGACCATGGACAGGTTCCTCAGCAAGAAGCAAAGAGTGGAAGAGGAACCTTCTTCGAGTGGTCCCCAGAGTCTTAGAAAATGTAATGTACCCTTTTTTGATTTTTAAATGTTTTTCCTGTCATGTTTAGAAACTTAATTTATTGTTCCTTCAATTTTTGATATGCTCTTTAAAGTATGTGTGACTTTAAAGAGCAGTTAATAAACTCTTGTTGTACCGAATTTGGCTTTGATTGGACTTTTTTTGACCATAGGAACGCATTAATTGAATTTCAATGCATTCCTATGGGATTTCGTGCTTCGCAAGACGAAAAATTCGCTAGACGAAAAAACTCGCGGAACGAATTAATTTCGTCTTGCGAGGCACCACTGTACCATCATGTGAAAGACAGCAATCCCATGACTGCAATCACGGAGCAGGAATTCTAGCACTAATCTACAACACCTTCTCCAACAGTTTCTCATCCGATGTCTCTGAGATTTCATAGAGATGGAGGTAGAAAAATGCCAGCAGAAGGAGATGGGTGACATGTGACTGCCCCACCCCATCTCCCGCAAGCAGCCCCATAAGACACCAAGAAAAGCCTCTCACTAGAGTCAGGGACCCTTCCAAATGGGGTGGCCTGTCATGCAGAGACAATCAGGTGGGGGAATTCCTGTACACAGAAAGTGTTTCAGCCCGATTTCAGGCAGTCTCTCACCCTTCTTCCTCAATCTCTCATAACACAGCCAACCCCATTCATCAGGGTCCCCCAAACTTTGGGAAAGGCAAGTCTGCTGAAGGAGAAGGCATAGGTGGGGAAATCATCTTCCTCTCACCTCTTTCTGTCGGTCTTTGTTCTGCACATTGTGCGACGTGAGATTTCAGTTGAGATAACCTTTTGATATTTTAAACAATAGCTCCATCAAAAAGGAAAGGCCAGCTCCACCCACTCTCGGTCTTTTCTTCAGAACTGGAATGATGCATGTTCCTACAGTGCAATCTAGCACGTCTGTTCAAAAGTGAGCCCCATGGGATTCACTCTCAGGTAAGTGTGTGTAAGATTTCAGCCTTAATCAACCAAAGAGCACTTGGAGATCGATAACGTTTTGTAAATCTGTTTTTCTTACATTTGGCTTGTGAGCACAATAGCAGTCTGATTATAAGCAAAAGGAGACGTACCGAGTTTTCTTTGGTTTGGGCAAGGAAAAGGTGAGCAAGATGCAGAACGATGAGCTGCTGCTACTGATTAGGATCCCTTCACCGCTCAAGGCTCTCCATCATCTCAAAGCCACTCACAAATTATTAGGTAATTACTTTCCGTTGTTTAGCAGGCAGCTTGTTCTGATTTCAGCTTTCTTTTGTTGTCAGCAAAAGAGCTAATTATATCTCTATTGTGCGACCTGTAGCAACAAGTTCAAAATCCAGAAGATATCCAGGCTAATCAGGGGGAACTCGCGTGCGAATTGTGTATACTAGGCAAAATCCATACAAAAATGTGTATGTTAAGACAGAGGTGCACAGAAATTCTGACCAATTTTCATAACCACTTTCGAACAAAACAAAAAATCACAAACTGTTACAGAAATGTGGTGAACTGAATTTTGGAGATATGAGAGATTCAGAGGAAGCAAAATGGACTGGTTCATTCCAGTGATGGAGCTTCATGCTGCAGCACTGGGGGGGGGGGTGGAGAGCAGGCAGGGGTGGGGTTGGCGTGTGTCCTGGGGGCGTGGCGCACTGCCTGTGGGGGGCATGGCGCCCAGCACGGGTGCGGGGACAACCACAATGGCAGCCCACCGGCATCGCGCTGCCGGGGGGCGTTGCACTCCCCCCTTACTCCTCTTCCTCCGCCAGTAGTTCATTCATCCCTACCAGCAGCTGATCCACGGGCTGGGGACTGGGGTGGAACATAATCCTTGCCATTAACCCTACAATACTAACTCCAGGCACTTTGCCCTGCTTGAAGATAAGCACATCTCTCCCCCATCGCATGAAATCTGGAAGCACAAGAGGGGGAGACACCACTTGATCATGTTCCTTCTCTTACCATTTCTCAGGAAAGTGGAAGCAGGCTTTGTGTCATGTACCTTTATCATTCACTCTCTGGGCATGAAGACATAGCACTTCAATTCCACAGGGAACCACAATAGGGTTTGTAAGGCACAAATTGTTCCATGTAACCTTGGTGATGTACCTGCAGCATCTTTGAAAGAGAATGATGAAGTGATAGGTCAGTCTTTTTTAGGTTCCATTGTATGCTCTCTCTCGTTTCCCTCCCTCGCGCTGTTATCAGGTAACCTGCTCCCTTCTGCAAATCCTTCCACAGTTCCCAGCTGGATACCAGTTTCTGGCAATATAAGAAAGCCTGGAGGCTGTACATCTGTTCTGGAACTGTCAGGTAGTGCAGTGAGTGAAGAAGCCCATAAATCTGTAGTGCTCGACTTCGCCCAGGAAAAGAAAACCGGTCTGTTCTTTTGCAGCACCAAAGAATACCATGCATCTTGAGTTCGCTTGGAGCATTTTGCTGACAGACAGCCTGAACATCACATGCTTTTGTTGAATCAAACAGCATAATGGATAAGCAAAGTATGGTTTTGCATGGCGATCCTGAATCTGAGTTCCTTATTGATTACACAAGGATTTAGTCCACATTGCTATAGATATTATTATTATTAAGGTAAGGTAAAGGTAAAGGACCCCTGGATGGTTAAGTTCAGTCAAGTCGACTATGGGGTTGTGGAACTTATCTTGCTTTCAGGCCGAGGGAGCTGGCATTTGTCCACAGACAGCTTTCCAGGTCATGTGGCCAGCAGGACTAAACCACTTCTGGCACAACGGAACACCGTGACGGAAGCCAGAGCACACAGAAACACCGTTTCCCTTCCTGCTGCAGCGGTACCTATTTATCTACTTGCACTGGCATGCTTTCTAACTGCTAGGTTGGTAGGGGCTGAGACGGAGCTCACCCCGTCACAGGGATTCGAACCGCTGACCTTCTGATCAGCAAGCCCAAGAGGCTCAGTGGTTTAGACCACAGTGCCATTCACATCCCTTGTTTGTTTGTTTGTTTGTTGTAGTAGTAGTATACTGCCCTTCGTCCAAAGATCAAAGGGTGGTTCACAACATAAAAATACAAAACAAGAACACAAAAACCATAATAAAAACATGAACGAAAACAAACCAATCACCCCTCTTCCACAACCACATTTAAAAAGCCATATAATCATCAGCCAAAAGGCCTGGTTAAAGAGAAACATTTTTGTCTGGCGCCTAAAGATATGCAATGAAGGCAGCAGGTGAGCCTCCCTGGGGAGAGCATTTCACAAACAGGGAGCCACCACAGGATAGGTCTGTTCTCATGTTGCCACCCACCAGACCTCTCGTGGAGGAGGCACATGAAGAAGGGCCTCAGAGAACGAACTCAGGGTCTGGGTTGGTTCATATGGAGAGAGGTGGTCCTTGAGGTATTGGGTACTTAATAAACTATGCCAGCATATATTCAGCTAAACCAGGGTTGGGGACTTAATCCCAGCTGAGCCAGGCATCAGCCAGTTTAGCCAGAGAACCACTGCATCCTACGCTGCTCATCCCAGTGGATGTGATCATCCCCGAGGATGATTTCCAGGCAAAATACAATCATCCAAAATAAATGGAATGCTGCTATTTTTGTTTTTTGTTTCTTTTAACTGAGGCACCACCTCCAATTACAGAGGCAGGACGAAGAAATTAACAAATTCAAAACACTGTTTATGATCAACTCGCGTTGAATTATTTTCTATGCAAACACAGTAAACTGCATGTTTAAAAACTGACATAGTATCATGCCTTTTTATGCCGAAGCTGTGCATTGTTGCTACGGAAATGATGTATTGTGTCTGTAATTACAGCTTTCCTTCATGAACAGCACAGGTAAGTGGCAAAGACAATTTTCAAAGGACCTACCAAATAGAATTCGTTTGTTCAGGTACAGGTAAGAAATGTACTAAGCAGATGCTTGGATTTCTTAAATTTCATGGACTGATCATTCTGCTCACTGATTCTCTCATAGGTCATTAGATTCCTGCATTGCAGGGGGTTGGGCTAGGTGACCCTTGCGGTCCCTTCCAACTCTATGGTTTTATGACCATAGATAAAGTTGAAGTGAGGGAAAATGAGACCAAGGATGCTGTAGGCAACGCAGCAGAATAACAAACAAACCAACCAAAAAAGGCACAGTGAAGCACCATGGAGACTGAAGCAACTTGAATAGCAAAGGGTAGGAGGGGTGTTGAATTTTACTATTTGGTCATGAGTTGGGTATGTTTTTTGTTTCTCTCTCCCAGCATCAAAGACGCTACTTTCAAAGAAAATATTACAATTAGAGAAAGTTTGGCTCTTTCATCATTAGACTTTCCCTTTGGTGTCAGAACAAATGGCTTGGAGACTGGTTGCCCGAAGGACTGTCTGCTTCCATTTAGATTTGCCCAGACCTCAAGATCATCACAGGCCCTCCTCCAAGTTTCTGCTGCCTACAGAGGTGAGATGGGTGGTTTACTAAAGTGAGGACTTTTAGTGGAATACCCTCCCCAGGGAGAGTAGCGTGGCACCTACATTAAGATCCTTTGGTGCCTTTAAATAAAATAGATTTCTGATTCTCCAAATTGTCCATATAATTATTAACAAAATAATGGTTGCTATTATTTTCACACATTCAGAATTGATCATTCACAGAATATTTAAAACAAAATGCATGCAGATGAAACAGAATCACTTAGTTACCCATTTGCTTTAAGATTAGAAAGACATGGAAAAGCCTTTCTTTTGTCCTTGGAACAGATTATTTGTCCTGGGTTTAAAATGTTGGTATGTTGCTTACGCCGCTCTTAATGCAGTGAATTGGAGTCGTTGCTTTTCTGCGTTTTAAGTAATGTTTTAATAATGTTTTATTGCATGTTGCTTTTTATTGTTATGTAAATTGCTAAGAGTATCCTTATTTATTGTGTGGCCAACTCCCATTGACAGGTGGTCCTCCAACCTTTCCTTTAAAGGTGATGGAGAGTCCACCACCTTACGAGGAAGTCCATTCCACTGCTGAACAGCATTTACCATCAGAAGATTCTTCTTGATGTTTCATCAGAATCTCCTTTCCTGTAACTTGAATCCATTGGTTCAGATCCCACCCTCTGGAGCAGGAGAATGCAACTTTGTACCTCTAAGAACTGTGAGCAAGAAGCTACGGCTTTGCCATTTGATCAGTTACCCTCTCTCTGAGACAATGGGCACATTTCTCCTAACACACATATAATGCATTTTTGTGCACATTATCTGGAGAAAGGAGAATTTCAAAGAAGCGGCTGTATTTCAGTTCAAACTGCACATTGGTGATATTTCAGGAACTGCAAATTAGGTAGGTTTGTCGTAAAATGTCAACCAAACTGATTTTCTCTCCTCTCCCTTCCAGTCAAATGGGAAGAGCAGATGAAAAAAGGGGCAGATGGATATACACTTTTCTTTTCTCTGATGCCAAGGCAAATTCTACCCTGAACCATCTCTTATAATGTTTTCGCCAAGAAAACCAATTACAATAGCCATAAAAATATAATTGCATAAAATCATATTTTATTCATATTAATTATCTGTTTCAACACCACATAATAGAATTGTATTTCCGTGTTTCACACAATTTGTTGTTGCTGTTGGAGGAACGTTGCCTGGTCATAAAGTATGAGAAATATACAAGAGAGAAAAGAAACTCTCGAGTCAAAATGTTAATTAAATGGGTCCTATTTCATGAAGCATTATGCCTAAAAAGTATAATAAAAAAAGAAAAGGACCAAATGCAGTAAAAATTCTCAGTGCTGCAATCTTTTGTCACTATAACACAATGCAATGAAACAGAGAATGATCAAACTTCTAGCTGAGATTTCTGAAATTCCCAAGACCAGAAGTCACACAGGTAGCAATCTAACCTACACTTCCTGGGGGCCAAGTGGCTTCCAGTGAAATGTTCAAAGGCCTGTACTGTTATCCTAGAACAGGCATTGACAACATGGTACCTGTAAGAACACTTGTGCCCAGAGAGGCCTTCCTTGATGCCCACAGGATCTCCTCCCCACACAGAAAGTAGGCCTGAAAGAAACAGTCCGTTGCAGCCAATAGAAAACATTGTGGAGTGGACTTGGTTGTTGGGTGTATGTGTCGTGCTTGTGACAGTTTCTCCAGTTTGTAAATGTGTCCATTGTCCCAAAAAGGTTGGCAATGCCTGAAGTTTCCCCCTCAAAAATGGCATAGTGGTGAATTTTGAAGTGGAGGATCTGAACATGACTACTCCCCTAGCCGCCCTTCCTAGGACAGTCCTTAGACATGCCTCTCTCTAAGGTAAGTCTTAAAAGACAAGCTTTGATCCAGGTGTTGGTCCATTATATAGCTGCGTGCACACATGCACTAGTGTGCAGTGCGTAGAATGATGCCCAGTTTAGAAGGATGTCAGGACATGTGTCGGGACCAGGTCAGTCTCATTAGAACCTGAAATAAGCAGCTTGAAATAAGTAAGACTGCAATTCATCTAATTATTTGCCATTGCGCAATCAGGGTCTTCCCTGGTTATGAGTGAGAAAATGTTTTCCAGGTATGAAACTCATTCTGATGAGCTCATGGTCATCTACAACAATATGTGGAAGGGTCTTAGCTCAGTGGAGGAACATGCAGAAGGTAGAAGATTCAGTCCCTGGCACCTCCAGGCAAGTCTAGGAGAGAATTCTGCCTGAAACTTGGAGAGCCTCTGCCAGTCAGTGCAGATAATTCTAAACTAGACTACCAGTTGCCTGACATGGTATCAGGCAGTTCCCTATGTCCCTGTGGCCCGAGAGAGTAAAGGGATGGGAATTCCGTTTGTGCATATATGTATTACTATGCAGATATGAATTTAGGTGGGCATTGTCCAGCACCTAGTATATGTAAACAGCTCACAATCCAGGAAGGAAGCTGCATTCGGAAATGCTTCTTCTGTGTGGGCAAATCTCCTTATGATATGATCCAAATAAGCTCATATCCTCCAACATTTCACTGGTCGAAATTGGGACGCTTGTGTTTTTGGTCCCCAGCTCTCACGGGAAACAGCTGATTCACAAGAGAGCATGAGATTAAAAAACTAGCATCTTTTGGTCCAACACACTGGTGTGAGTCAGCTGATTTGTGCCATAGCATCAGACCAAAAAAAAAGGGACATTCTGGGTATCCAGTCAGAAACTAGGATGGCTTCCGGGATGTTCCGCTCAAATCAGAACTATTGAGGTGTATGCGGGCCACAATAAAATACGCAGTATTTGAGCACGCTTAAGCCCAATAGCTGAAATTGACTATTCACATTGGGGATTAATATGACAGCCAAAAATGGGAACTTATTTAAAGATAATTATGAAAAATGTTGGACGGAAGTGAAAAAAGACTTAGAAATTTGGTCAAATTTGAAACTTTCATTGTTGGGCCGTATTGCTGTGATAAAAATGAATGTATTGCCGAGAATGTTGTTTTTATTTCAGACATTGCAAATTATGGACAGGATGGACTGTTTTAAGAAGTGGCAGAGAGATATTTCTAGATTTGTCTGGCAGGGCAAGAAGCCCAGAATAAAATTTAAGATATTAACAGATACAAAGGAAAGGGGTGGATTTGCCCTGCCAGACCTTAAACTTTACTATGAATCAGCAGCTTTTTGCTGGTTGAAAGAATGGCTACTTCTTGAAAACACAGACATTTTGGATTTAGAAGGTTTTAACAATGTATTTGGATGGCATGCATACTTATGGTATGATAAGGTCAAGGCACACAAAGCATTCAAAAATCATATTGTCAGGAAAGCATTGTTTAATGTCTGGATAAGATATAAAGATTTATTGGAAAATAAAACCCCAAGGTGGCTGTCACCAATGGAAGCAAAAGCTCTGAGAAGTCTCAATATGGAGGCCAGATGGCCGACATATTGGGAAATTTTGGAACAAGGAGGAGATAAATTGAGATTGCAGAGTTTCGAAAAACTAAAAAACAAAGTGAGAGATTAGCTTCATTATTATCAGATAATGGAGGCATATAATTTGGATAAGAAAATTGGCTTCCAGGTGGAAAAGTCAAAATTAGAAACAGAACTGTTAGAACCCAAAACTAAGAATCTGTCAAGAATGTATAACTTGCTGTTGAAATGGAATACTCAGGATGAAACGGTGAAATCTGCTATGATTAAATGGGCACAAGATGTTGGACATAATATTATGTTTGTTGACTGGGAACAGTTATGGACCACAGGTATGAAGTTTACGGAATGTAATGCCTTAAGAGAGAATATTATGAAAATGATATACAGGTGGTACATGACCCCAGTCAAGCTTGCAAAAATCTATCATTTGCCCGATAATAAATGTTGGAAATGTAAAGAAACTGAAGGTACATTCTTTCACCTTTGGTGGACGTGCCCAAGGATTAAGGCTTTCTGGGAGATGATTTATAATGAAATAAAAAAGGTATTTAAATATACCTTTCTGAAGAAACCAGAGGCCTTTCTTCTGGGCATCGTCGGCCAATTGGTGCCAAAGAAGGACAGAACTTTTTTTATGTATGCTACAACAGCAAGAATACTCATTGCAAAGTATTGGAAGACACAAGATCTACCCACTCTGGAAGAATGGCAGATGAAGGTGATTGACTACATGGAACTGGCGGAAATGACTGGCAGAATCCGAGACCAGGGAGAAGAGTCGGTGAAAGAAGACTGGAAGAAATTTAAAGACTACTTACAGAAATATTGTAAAATTAAGGAATCTTAGAAGGATGTTGGATAGAAACTAAATGGTTTCCAGCTGTAATGCTTTAAGAGATACGAAAGAAGGTTTACAAATGGGTAAAAGCTTAATGGTAAGGATTTGCTGAACTAACAAACTGAACTGGAATACAAAAAAGGGAGGTACGAGGAGGTCCGGGGAAATAAGTGTAAGGAAGATATGCTATGGAAAATTAACGTGTTTTTAACTGTTTTTATTTTGTATGTTTCTCTTTATTTTTCATTTTTTTGTTATATCTTAAAAACTTTATTCTTTTTTTCTGTATTTTGTATTTTCTTGTATTTTATTTTTTGTTTTTGTATTCTTTGAAACTTTAATAAATATCATTTAAAAAAAATATGAAATTGACTATTCACAGAACCGTCTTGCAAAAACCATGGTTTTATAACATACCTCAGTATAAAGCCCATCTATTATGATGCAACTGCCAGGATGAAAGGCACAAAAGAAGTTCAGTAATGCCTCTTAGAAGATCAATGTCTAATAATGAGAGCTTACTGGCTTTGCAAGATACAGGATAAAAAGCCTATACTCTCTTAGCAAATGTGGTTGGCTGAACCAGTTATTTTCTACTCTCCCTTTGTCTCCTTCACTCTTTCAAATATGACAGCAAAACACTCTAAGCGCTAACCAGACAAGTAAGCTTTGTTCAGGTTTCTTTAGAAAGCTGCTCCTGGATTGTGCATTGGGATTTTTTAACCTCTTTATCCACATATGACGTTTGTTGAGACCAGCTAGCTGTCCACACTCAAAGGGAACTCCATAAATTGCTTGTTTAGAGAAACTCAGGGCCTCAGAAGGTATATTTCCAAGCGCACTTCTTGATTCGTCATAACCTGTCCTATTACTCATTTATTTATTTCTTATATTTTTATATGTGAACTAAACTTTCAGCTAAAATGAACATTACCTCACAATGAGTTTTTGCCAGCCTTCCATCCGGGCTGTACTGTAGGAAAATCTTACTACATTTTTGCCCTGGCCTGCGTCACTTTCCACTTGTTTACATTGAATTGCATTTCCCATTTTATGGTCCACTCACTCAGTTTGAGGAGATCTCTTTGGAGCGCTTCACAAGTCCCTTTTTGTTTTTGTTGTGTATTGAGTCAAAGGATTTTATATCTGTATTATTATTGTCTGTATTTGCATTAGGGTAAAGTAACTGCCTTTTGGTTCTAGAGGGTACAGCTACTATTGGTTCATTTAAGCTGCTGTATTTGGATCCTCTGTCTTATTGGTTCCCTCCAAAAGGCAGGACTGTGATTGCCTGATATTGTTCCCTCCAAAATGTATCCTTTCTTGCTAGTTCCCTGTCCCTATAAATGTAGCTTTCCTCTCCCCAGTCTTTAGTCTTGTGCTTTAATAAAGAAGTGTTACTAGAGAACTGTCTCCAGCATGTTATATCAGGAGAGCTGAAATCACAAACCCCACGTCACAACAGTTTTAACCACCCTGAATGATTTTAGTATCATCAGCAAACTTGACCACCTCGCTGCTCAGCCCTAACTCTAGATTGTGAAGTGAAAAAGCACAGGCCCCAACACAGATTGGGGGACTTTCTACATCCTGCCACTGAGAGAACTGTCTGTTTATTCCTACTCTCTCCTTCCTGTTATGTAACTAGCTCCTGGTTGAAAAGAGAACCTCTCCTCTTATTCCATTACGGCTAAGCTTGCTCAGCAGTCAAATGTCAAAAACATTTGAAAATCAAAGTACGCTATGCTAACTCAAGTCCATTGATTTCCACTGGTCTACTCTGACTAATGTTGTAAATCATCCATAATACAATATTTATATAGCCACGACATTATAGGCTTTTACAATTCTGGTGTGTTACTTTAGAAATAGGTAGCATCAGGGAAAGGTAGCGTCACCACGAGACCAGATGCTGACTCTTCAAAATCTTGGTTCATGCTGGGCAGCAGGGGAGGGAAACCTAAAGGCAATTCATATGATGCTGGACATGAATTTCCATCAGTCCCAGCTATCATGACCAATGATTAGGGATAATTGGCGTTGTAACATACAGTTGTACCTTGGATCACAAACGCCTTGGCTCCCGAACAAATCTGCTCCCAAATGATTGAAACCTGAAAGTGGGTGCTCCAGTTTTTGAACAATTTTCAGAAGCCAAACATCCAGTGCAGTTTCCACAGCTTCCAATTGGATGCAGGATGCTCCTGCAGCCAATCGGAAGCCGTGCCTTGGTTTTCGAATGGTTCTGGGTGTCGAACGGACTCCCGGAACGCATTCTATTCGAGAACCAAGGTACGACTGTACAGTGGTACCTCAGGTTAAGTACTTAATTCATTCCGGAGGTCCATTCTTAACCTGAAACTGTTCTTAACCTGAAGCACCACTTTAGCTAATGGGGCCTCCTGCTGCTGCCGCGCTGCCAGAGCACGATTTCTGTTCTCATCCTGAAGCAAAGTTCTTAACCCGAGGTAATATTTCTGGGTTAGCAGAGTCTGTAACCTGAAGCGTATGTAACCTGAAGTGTATGTAACCCGAGGTACCACTGTATTTAAACAGGGCTACAAAAGGATCTTAGCGTGTATATCTGCCTGTTAACATTTACTCTACCTCAGCATTGGGGTTCAGCATTTGGAGAAAGCTAGAGAGTTCCAGAAAGGCATCTACTTCTGCTTCATTGACTATGCAAAAGCCTTTGACTGTGTCAACCACAGCAAACTATGGCAAGTTCTTAAAGAAATGGGAGTGCCTGATCACCTCATCTGTCTCCTGAGAAATCTCTATGTGGGACAAGAAGCTACAGTTAGAACTGGATATGGAACAACTGATTGGTTCAAAATTGGGAAAGGAGTACGGCAAGGCTGTATATTGTCTCCCTGCTTATTTAACTTATATGCAGAATTCATCATGCTACAGGCTGGGCTGGATGAATCCTTAGCCAGAATTAAGATTGCCGGAAGAAATATCAACAACCTCAGATATGCAGATGACACAACCTTGATGGCAGAAAGTGAGGAGGAATTAAATAACCTTTTATTGAGGGAGAAAGAGGAGAGTGCAAAATATGGTCTGAAGCTCAACATCAAAAAAACAAAGATCATGGCCACTGGTCCCATCACCTCCTGGCAAATAGAAGGGGAAGAAATGGAGGCAGTGAGAGATTTTACTTTCTTGGGCTCCATGATCACTGCAGATGGTGACAGCAGCCACGAAATTAAAAGACGCCTGCTCCTTGGGAGAAAGGCGATGGCAAACCTAGACAGCATCTTAAAAAGTAGAGACATCACCTTGCCAACAAAGGTCCGTATAGTAAAAGCTATGGTTTTCCCAGTAGTGATGTATGGAAGTGAAAGCTGGACCATAAAGAAGGCTGATCACCGAAGAATTGATGCTTTTGAATTATGGTGCTGGAGGAGACTCTTGAGAGTCCTATGGACTGCAAGAAGATCAAACCTATCCATTCTTATGGAAACCAGCCCTGAGTGCTCACTGGAAGGACAGATCGTGAAGCTGAGGCTCCAATACTTTGGCCACCTCATGAGAAGAGAAGACTCCCTGGAAAAGACCCTGATGTTGGGAAAGATGGAGGGCACAAGGAGAAGGGGACGACAGAGGACGAGATGGTTGGACAGTGTTCTTGAAGCTACCAGCATGAGTTTGACCAAACTGTGGGAGGCAGTGGAAGACAGGAGTGCCTGGCGTGCTCTGGTCCATGGGGTCAAGAAGAGTCGGACACGACTAAACGACTAAACAACAATCTGACACAAATGCTTTCTGGGCTAAATCAGAACACAAAGCGGGGAAGCTGTGGGATAGGTCCACTAGCTTTTTCCTTTCTTTCACTGCCTCTGCTGCTTGTCATGTGTTGGAGGGCGAGCTTCTGTTCAGGGGAGCCTGCGCTGTTCATGTGGAATCTGTTAAGGTTTATTGTACATAAAATGCTGTGTTTGGATGCCTTGTATTTAAGATACTGTAAAGGGAAGTTTACCTTAAGCAATAAGTTTTAGTCTAGTAAAAGCATCTGAGAAGGCTTATAATTTTCCATTACCATGACATTACAGTGGTCGTTAGAATGGCATATCCAGTAGTAAGGTCCCAACTAAAGAAAAATGGCAACTTAAACTGGTGGAATATGCGCAGCTTGCGGACCTAACATATAGAATAAGAGAACAAGAAGAACATACGTTTAAAGAAGATTGGAAAATGTCTATTGAATTATGGGGGGGGACTTGAAAACGTTGGCAGCATTAATATAAATTCAACAGTGTAAACAAGATTTGATGGATGTAATACTGAATGGTTTAGTTTATGTAAAATATGCAGGGATTTATGATATGCAAAATGAACCATGGAAAGAGAAGAAGGGAAATCGTTGACGTTTTGAGGTTGTTTAAATGAATATTCTAAACTGTAAAACAGAAAGTTTAATGAAAATTATACACAAAAAAAGAATGGCATCCCCATGAAACACGGAGCAATGGAGCTCTCACAGCAGGAAGTTGAAACTTGAGAAGCCTGTGTGTGCTTGTCCAAGATGGCTGAAAGCAGCAGCAGTTGCAGAGAAGTTCTCCAATGATAGTCAAGCTTAGGATCTGCCTCTGGGACCTGAGAGAGGAAGTTTATGGAACTGCATAAAGGTCTGCAACCCATTGCTTGTTTGCAGTGTGTTACTTTGTTATTTTGTCTTATCGAAGCTGGTATTTAAGACTGCTCTGCAGCAAAGCTTTGAAACTTGTTCTTGCAGTGGAGGGAATTCATTTCTACACAAGGTCAAGATCGGGAATCCCGCTGAAGAACTCTTAACAGGATCCTGGAAAATCAGGGCTGCATCTCCCCAAATCCTGCTGCTAATAGGCACCCTCCAAATTATGATGGGGCAGCAAGAAGGAGGGCAAATGCTTGAAGAGGGCCATAGCCATGCTCGAACTTCAAGGCTGAGCAAGCTTGCCAGATCACTGATGCTGGTCCAGACACTCCAAAAATTGTGTTATAATACTATTTCTTGCCTACCTCTCAGGCTTGGAAGTGCTCTATTGCCACCTACTGGCACATCTGTTACATTTCACAGTAGAGTCGTGATTCTTTGTGAATGAAGCAACAAATGGGGGAGGGGGCTCAGTATCTCTGTAACATAACAGGATCAAGTGTTTCAGCCACACCGGGGAGGTGGGTGTATTAATTTCACATGCACAGCAAGCAAAATGCATAGATTTTGCATTGTGTTCTATTGAAATGAGGGACTGTCCATTTCTAAAGACGCAAGAGAGATGATGAGATGGAGGTTCAGAATATCCAGTACTTATGAACCCTTGCACTGTTATCGTCCTCAAGCCTTTTCTGCCCATTCCAGCGTCTCTGAAATAGCCTGTTGGGTTCTGAATCTCAGTGAACAGGACAGGCTCTGTATAAGCAGGGAGTTTCACCCATACTGTCCAGTTAGCCACCAGGAGTGCCGTCAATCAGTGGAAGGTTTTAGGTTGAATTCTTGGCATCTACAGCTAGAAGGATCTCGAGGAACTAGAGCTGGGAAGGAACCACTGGCTAAATCAGGTGTGAGGAATGTTTTTTGTGGGTTTTGTGTTCCAGTGGGTGGGCATAGCCACAGGGAAAAGGTAGGTAGGGCAACAGATGTGATTCTTACCTTTTTACGGCAGGCTACGACCAGGGGTTTCTGCACACAAATATCTCCATTGCAGCAAGTTAAGAGTCATTATCAAAGTTCAAGGAGGCCCAGACAAAAGGAGGTGGAGCAAGGCATGTGAGGGGTGTGGCACGGGAAGGGGCGTGCCTTGGGGATAGTCCTGAGGCCTGACTGTCGTATGGACACCTTATTTTGGAGGCCTGTGGTTCCACAACCTTCAGGACTTTATTCTACCTCTATGATATGCTTCTAAATATCTGTTGCTGGGAACCACAGGAGAGGAAAGTGCTGTTGCACTCAGATCCTGTTGTAGGCTTCCCATGGGCATCTAGCTGACCTCTGTGAGAACAGTGTTAGACTAGATGGGCTTTTGGCTTGATCCAGCAGATTCTTCTTGTGTTCTTATCCCTGGCAAAACTCAACATCATAATTTCAGCAGCAGGAGCAGCTCCTCGAATTGTGAACCACTTCCACTACTGATATTTGCTGCATAGTAGAGGGAACCCAATGCACTTACTGGAGGTTGTCAAGAGGTGGCAGGGAAGGCAGGGGCTGACCAGGGGCTGTGCAGGTTCACAGCTGCTGAATTGCTAGATGCACTCAATGCACCCTGCATGGGTCAGTCTAGGCTAGGACCAATGGTGGGGTGAAAGCTTGTTGAAGTCCTTGTGGAATTTCCCTTAACTGCTTACAATGGGCTGAACTGATTGCTATAAAAATTATAAGCCAGCTGGAGAGAAAGAAAAGGACTAGCTTGTAGATTTGGCTGCTGAGTCATTCAGGGAAGGGGAGTGGGATGCAAGAGTATTCCTTGGCTCTAAGTCTCTATACTCTAGCCATTAAGTGACAACACTTTTGCTGCTGTTATGGCACTGCCAAAGAAGATTACCATCTAAATCCCATCATTTTTACTTGTGACCAGATGGTCACAGATCGTGTGTTCCAAAAATTAAAGCTTATTCCACCAGTCGCAGAATTGCAGAAGAGTAACTTTCCATTATGTTCCTGGTGCCACACTATCTACTCCCTTTATTGAATCAGTTTTAAAACTAAATGAGGTGTAATGGTTCTGCCCCCATGGAGTGAACAGTTCGGAATCTCCTGTTCTTCCTCTGGACTCTCAGGGCAGGTTATATTAGGGCTTGCATTCATCTTCCATCCAAGTGCGGATCCCATTCAAACTTGGTTAACTTCAAGTTTTCATGCTGCAGGTTTTCATGCTCTCGGATTATCCATTTGAATCTGTTGTCAATACACAGGCAATCTGTTCCTGTGCAAACTACAACTGCAAACATTTAGCTCAGAAAACAGTTTTGAATTTAAAAAGCTGCCTTATACCAAGACAAGCTCCTTGTTGTATACACTGAGTGGCAGTGACTCTCCAGTGTGTCAGACAGAGGACATCACTAGCCCTTCTTGGAGATGCCGGGAACTGAACCTGGGCCTTTTGCTCTACAGCTGAGCTATGGCCCAACTTGAGTGCCAAAGCCAAACCAGCCAGACCATAATTTTGATGGAATAACTGTGTGTGTTTACAACCACCAGATTGATCTTTGGTAATGATTATGCTTATAAATTATATTGGTAAACATCTATGTACTTAAAAAACAAATGTAACATTTTTTTCTTTTTATTGTTTACAGGAATATGTAATTATGTTTATAAATATCTCAATAAATTAAGATAAACTAGTGAAACAGTAGGGACGCAGGTGGCATTGTGGGTTAAACCACAGAGCCTAGGACTTGCCGATCAGAAGGTCGGCGGTTCGAATCCCTGTGACGGAATGAGCTCCCGTTGCTCGGTCCCTGCTCCTGCCAACCTAGCAGTTCGAAAGCTCGTCAAAGTGCAAGTAGATAAATAGGGCGGGAAGGTAAACGGCCTTTCCGTGTGCTGCTCTGGTTCGCCAGAAGTGGCTTAGTCATGCTGGCCACATGACCCGGAAGCTGTATGCCGGCTCCCTCGGCCAATAAAGCGAGATGAGTGCCGCAACCCCAGAGTCGGTCACGACTGGACCTAATGGTCAGGGGTCCCTTTACCTTTAGTGAAACAGTAGCAAGAGATTGGTTTTCAGTGGCAATCTAGAGTTTGTTGTTTGTGCAGGCAAAATTAGTTAAAAGGGATGAAAGCTCTGTAAGTATCAGATTCCCCTCCCCCTTACTTGTGTAAGCACACCCTGAGTCTCTGTTCTTTGACATGGGAAGTTGGAGGGGGAAGGGGTGTGTTACCATGGTTTAACGGAACATAAACACTGAATGTAACCCATGAAACAGTCTCCAACGAGCATTACAAAAAGAAAACAATTCAAAGGATTCCATTCTTGAAAACGAACCTCTTTTCAAATCCTGGCGGGTGGTAGGAGAGTGTGAGTTATTCAAGAGTGTTTCTTTCATGAGGGCTTTCTCATCTGTAGCTCAGATATCAGAGAAATGTCGAGTGTTGTTGTGTGCCGGCTCTTGAGTTGTCAGTGCCGTTGGAAACCAGGCTCGTGCTGGAATGAAACTCACTGATGTGTGCCTTTGTTGTCAGCTCTTTGCTTTGTTGCCGTAAAACCTGCAACTTCCAGCACCCTCCCTGCAGCTTTTACTAGGATTGGCCACCCATTAGCCACATCAGGAAAATGTTAACAAGGGGAAGCTCAACCTCTAGGGCAGTGTTTCCCAAGCTTGGGTCGCCAGTTGTTTTTGGACTACAACTCCCATCATCCCTAGCTGGCAAGATCAGTGGACAGGGATGATGGGAATTGTAGCCCAAAAGCAGCTGGAGAACCAAGTTTGGGAAACGCTGCTCTAGGGTAAGAAGAAGGAGAAGGAGAAGGAGAAGGAGAAGCCCTGCTGAGCCCTCCCACTCATAGATGGATGCACTTGAGATTTGTTTGTAAAATGGCTCATTCTGTACCAACTTTTGATGATATCATAAGTGTCACCTTTGCAGTTCCATCTGCGAAATCTGGAACATGTGACACAGTACCCCAAAGCAGTTTCCTGCTTGCTCGCAATTTTGTTCATCATAAGACATTACCAAATCAAGAGCACTTAGATGTCTGGCTGAGTTCTCCAGGTGTAGCCATTAAGGCTCTGTGAGCGACTGAACTCACTCCATTTGAGCTTCAGATTTTCTTTTCAGTATGAGCCTAGCATCCCTAGTTAGGCATGAAGTGAAGGAAGAGAAGCCGATTGGACTGCTGATACACACCGCTCAGTTCTCATAATTTAGCCTATTACATGCATAAGGAGCCCAAGAGAAAGTGAGATTGAGCTCAGCTCCATCTAGACTTGGTAACAAAAGTTTCTCTCTCCCTTCCTTTCATGCCACAACTTCAAGTGAACCAGTAGTCTGGCCGAGAAAACTGGAAAGACCTTTGGAGATGTTGTCTTTTATGGTGTTATGGGTAATGGGAGACCTCTGCTACTAATAATGTTAAGAACTCATCAAGAACGGCACATCAACAGCAAGAATACTACTGGTCCAAAAATGGAAGCAGGAAGAATTACCATCGATAGAAGAATGGAGAATGAAATTAATGGACTACGCAGAATTAGATAAATTAACAGGAAGGGTCCGGAACCGACGAGATCACAAGTTTACCAAGGACTGGAGTAAATTTGTGGACTATATGAAAAGCATATGTGATACGCAAATAACGTTTGTGGGTTTACAGGAAGCTTTGTGAAGAAATAATATTAGAAACACTGTAAAAAAGGGAACAAGGGAATAGGTTTATTTAAAATAAAAGGCAATGTTAAATTTAGAATTGCGGATAGAAGATTAGAAAATGGAAGATTCGCGGATGAGCTGAAGGAAGTCAAAATTATGTATCTGTGATAATATTGAAAATGTAAATTTAAATCTTGTATTGAAAATTGAATAAAAAATAATTAAAAAAAAAAAGAACGGCACATCTACTTCTAAATCAGGGCTGGAGAACATGTTGCCCTCCAGGAGCTGATGAAGGACAACTCCCAATCATCTCTAACTATTGGCCATTTTGGCTGGGACAGATGGAGTCCAACAATATCAGGAAGACCACATGTTGCTCACTCTTGTTCTAACTACTCCATCCTATGTTTAAGCACACAAATCCAAGGAGCCACCTAACTTCCTTACAAAGTACACAATTCACCTGGGGCTTACAAGGGAGGAATCTATAGCAAAGGCGGATCTAGGGGATCCTAGGCAGAACTGGTCTAGTCACACCGGATGCAGTGCTTCTGGGGCAGTGCAGCAGGCACTGCAACTATGACATCCAACAGAAGGCCGGGGGGGGACGACACACACACACCAGATTTTGGCATCACACAAGGCATCACTGAAATCTGAAATGCCAATTTCCACCACTGATCTACAGAAGTCCTTGATTAGCTATGTTTATTTCATTGACTTTGTCTCCATCTTCTATCTTAGCAAAGCAAGATCAATTCACAGTGAAGTGTGATTGATTGTGATGGATGCGACGGCAGAGGATTTAGGTCTGTGAATTAGAGCTGTCTGGTAGATCAGCTCTATTTGGGGGAACTTCAAAAATGAAAAGAGGTTGTACAAGTCTGAGAATGTGATATCTCTCTACTTACTTCAGAGAGATTTCAAATGGGCTGTCTTCTGAACCATCAGATCTCCAATAAAAGGCATTCAGTCCCAGCGATGTGCTGGCTGAGTGACTGCCGAGGGAGCTGCAGGTATAATGGAACCCATTTAAGGGTAATCCCCTATAGATATGAGAAACTGTGAGCTGGCCACAAGGTTAATGGTAAGTGATGGTCTGTGTGCCTTAAGATTCCTTGTAGGCACTGCATATGTGGCACCCTTCAGATCCCGGTCACAGATAGTATCTTGTGAATGTGGCTTTCAAGATGGATTTGGAACATAGGAAACTGCCTTATATTGAGTCATGCTATTAAGGACATATGAACAGACTTCCTGGATCAGGCCAAAGGCCCATCTAGTCCAGCATCCTGTTCTCACAGTGGTCAACCAGTGACAGCCTGTGGTGCTCAGTGAAGGTTCCCTTGGAGTAAACCCATTTAAATTAATGGACTTAACTTAAAGGTAAAGGTAAAGGGACCCCTAACTGTTAGGTCCAGTCGTGGACGACTCTGGGGTTGCGGCGCTCATCTTGCTTTATTGGCCGAGGGAGCCAGTGTACAGCTTCTGGGTCATGTGGCCAGCATGACTAAGCCACTTCTGCCGAACCAGAGCAGCACATGGAAACGCCATTTACCTTCCCACCGGAGCAGTACCTATTTATCTACTTGCACTTTGACGTGCTTTCAAACTGCTAGGTTGGCAGGAGCAGGGACCGAGCAACGGGAGCTCACCCCGTCATGGGGATTCGAACCACTGACCTTCTGATCGGCAAGCTCTAGGCTCTGTGGTTTAGACCACAGCACCACCCGCATCCCTTGGACTTAACTTAGTCAGGTTCATTAATGCCAGTGGGATACTACATCTAAGATAAAAATGGCATAGATGCAATAAGAAGAGCCCTCCTGGATCAGGTCAAAGACTTAACTAGTCCTGCATCCTGCTCTCACAATGTGGCCAATCAGATGCCCAGGGGAAGTCCACAAGCAGGACCTGAGTGTAACAGCACTCTCCCCACCAGTGATTTCCAGCTTCCTCTGAGAGTCAAGGTAGAACACAGGCATTACGGAAGGGGAACTGCAAGTGCAAGTGTTGAGCACCTGTCCATGCTTCTCTGCCCAGCACTCAGGACTCTACCTAAGCCACACCCCTTCTCTCTTTTTTTAAAATAACTTTTATTAACCGACCAATCAAATCAAATCACATCACATAAATTCTGAATTACAAAGCCGAATTTTAAATTTTTGTTGGGGGTACCCATATATTTCAAGTTCCGAAGGGGATTCCAATCATCTTCTTGCTGCTGCATTAATGTCCACAAATCTGTCCAAATAATGTTCACAATTCTATCCAGTCCTATCTTGCTGTTCCCACATCTCATCTTGTTATTTTCATATTTTTTCTTTTTTCTTTGTGATCTCTTCTGATAATCTCCTTAAGCAGGTAAACACAAGTTGTAATCCTGTGTTAATTTTTCCGTTCGTCCAATAACCATATCGAGATGGTTTCCATATATCATCACTTCCATAAATAAAAGCACTCTTGCCATCATTAATCTTCACAAATCTGTCGCCTTCTTTAGTCCTCTGAGGAGGTTCGCCCGCAGTATGAAAACAAATCCATTCCTCCTCCCAGACATAAATCTTTCGACAGAACTTGCCAAAATGGCGACACTGTTTTTTACTTCGTCATCCCAAAGCTCTTGTACTTTCCACGATCTCCTTAAAACATGCTTTTGGTTAGAAATTATCTCCACACAGTCTTAAATCATCCAGCTTAGGTCATTTAAGTGGCATTTCTGACTTGTGAGGGGGGATTATTGGTTAATCACATAGAAGAAAGAAAGGAAAGTCCCCCCCCATCCAGTCCCATTGCCGACATACCGAGCCTTGATGTGTCTTCTCATGATATATTCCTGTTTATCCGACCCGTCTTCTTTCTCAGAGATCCCTTCAATTAGCAATATTTACTCCCCGTTCTTCCTTCAAATATGTGCATTTGCTTCTTCCTAATTGTTTCTTTTGAAGTTGCTGCAGCTAGTGGCGCGAATCAGAGACAGCGTCCAGGATAGCCAAAGTCCACACAAGGGCTTTCTGCCTAGTGCCCTCACTAATGGTATATGGGCACAGCAGGCAAGGGTAGTCCCCCCCATTCCCTTGGGGGGGCAGGGAGGCTGCATACTCCCATAACAGCCTCTTAATTACCTCGTGTGGGTCAGAGATGTTATTGTCGGCCATCTTCCAATGCGCCCCTAGTGGCCCCCCAAGCCACACCCCATCTCATGCCACACTCCTTGTAGGCCTTGCTCAACCCACTCCTTGGCTACTGTCTCCAACAGAGGAGGGAGAACACAGCCATCATGGTTAGTAGCCACGGACAGCCCTAACTTTCATGCTTTTGTCTAGTCTTCTTTTAAAGCCATCCAAGTTTATAAGAACCTCATACACTTGGTGCATTTGATGATGATGATGATGATGATGATGATGATGATACCTTTATTGTAATTGTACAACCTGTGTACAATGAGCCTCCCCCCCCAAAAAAACCACTCAATCTCTTATCAAACAACACACCACCTTGCAAGTCAATTTCACTATGTTATTTTTCGTTCAACAGCCTAACAGCCCACTGATAGAAGCTATTTTTTGGCCTGTTGGTACGGCTGATTATACTTCTATATCTTCTGCCCGAGGCTAGAAGATTAAAGAGGTGATGGCCGTGGTGTGAGTCATCCCTTATAATTTTTTTCGCTCTCCTAAGGCAACAATCCCTTGCGATGTCATCTAGCGGACTCAAGGGACAGCCCGTGATATCATGTGCTGTATTCACCACCCTCTGTAGAGACTTTCTGTCCGTGGCTGTCAGGCCAGCATACCACGCTATGATACAATATGAAAGGACACTAATCAGGAGTTCATCAGTTGTTGTTTAACATTATTCTTTCGTAAGACCCTGAGGAAATGGACTCTCTGTTGGACCTTTCTGACCACCTGAGTTACGTTGATTTTCCAAGTGAGGTCCTCACTAAGGTAAACTCCCAGGAATTTAAAGGAGGAGACTCTCTCCACACAGCCCCCCCCCCGATATACAACGGGGCAGGTTCCCCTCTCTTCCTCCAGAAGTCCAACACCATCTCCTTTGTCTTACTAATATTTAGGTGCAAGTTATTCTCTAAGCACCATGTAGATACTTTTTGAACCTCCCCCTTGTACGCTGTTTCATCTCCGCCTGCAATTAGGCCCATTATGGTAGTATCATCTTCAAACAATAATTACTGTGGATGGATCAGTAATTTGGCCTCGTACTGTCAACACTGATTGGCAGCGTCTCTCCCAGACCTACCTGGAGATACCAGGGATTGAGCCTGAGACCTGCATGCAGAGCATGCATCCTCTACCACTGAGCTATGGCTCTTTACATGTGCCCGGATGGAAACCTGATACACTAGGATTCAACAGGCGCTACACCAGTTAACTCATCTGCCATCTAAAATCCGTGGTCCTGAGACAATGACGATCCATGGACCTACAACCTGGAGGCTCCTTCAAGCCACTCTGTTACCTATTGCAAAGCAAAACGTTGTTGTTGACAGCCTTGATGCATGGGCGCACTGATGTGTAGGTTATCATCTCTCTGTAGTCGAAGGAGCACGCTCAGTTAATGGCTTAATTCTGTGGCTCAAATTTACCCATGGCATTTCCATAGGTTTATTACAAAAAGCTACATGATTGAGGTACATCATATTTTACCGCTGCCTGTTCCCAGGCAATGGAGGGAAGCATTATCCAACTGAATAATCTGCCCACTCACACAGTTGTTGCCTGCTAGTTCATAAATCAAAGTTAATTAAGCTGAAGCATCATTTCTGATGGGACTGAAATTTGCATGTACATATTTAATAATGAATAACTGCAGATACTGCTTTATCAGGAAAGACCTCTGCCATTGTATTTCTATTAATCTCTGGGGAGTGTGCTAAATGGAGATTACACAAGTCGATTAAAGCTAATTTTTTAGAGCAGGATCCTAAGATGAAATAATGATATCCTTGGTGAAATGTAATGGGCACCAAAGCTGTTAGACTTTGGATCAAATTCCCACTCCGTACTTTGTCC